TGAGCTGCAGCTGTGACCGATCAGCCTATGATGAGGATGGCCAGGTGCTCCTCGCACGTTTCCAGGGCGACGCTGATGCAGCTTTGGGACGCTCGTCACAATATATATATATTGTTTTTATATATGTTGTTTGTTATATATATTTACTGGATAGTGAACTTTTATTATGGTTAAATGAAGATGTAGAATAACAGTATTATTTTAAAGGCTTGTTTGCTGATACTTCTTTGTCTTTGTGTTTATAGGACATTCTGAGATTTCAAATCTTTTCAAGACTGTTGTTCAAATTAGAATTAGCCCTCATAAGAACACCAGTTGATCTTGATTTCCTGGAATTTACATGTCGTCAAGAAATGTACCTATGTCAGATCCTGTCAAGACATGTTGATGTGCCATCACCAATCATCCAGGCGCTGCAGGAGCTCTTTTCACTCGTCAGACAGCAAATAGAACTTACCGCCCCACAGACAGAAGTAACTACCGTGGCTGGCAGGACAGGGCGTCCAAAATACAACATTGAAATGGAGACTTTGGCTGAGCTTTGTGAACTAAACCTCTCTGTACGCTGCATTGCAAAACTTCTGGGCATTTCAGGTCGCACTATCCGTAGACTTATTAGAATTTGGGTTTTCCCCGAAAACGTACAGTAACATCAGTGATCAAGACCTCGATAGATTGGTTGCCCAGATTAAAAATGAAATGCCCTCTGCTGGATACCGAATGGTCAAAGGTAGGCTTCAATCCATGGGGATTCACATTCAGTAGAGAAGAGTAGCTGCTTCAATGCACGAAGTGGATTCGATAGGAGTCCTATCCAGAATGTACGGATTGGGATGTGTGGTACACCGCACATATTCTGTGAGAGGGCCCCTGTCTCTCTGGCATGTGGATACTAACCACAAGTTAATAAGGTTTTGTCATTTTTCATTGTCATATACTCCTAAGAGTATTTATTATTTATTAACATTAGATGAAAGAATCAATTTTTTTGATTATGAAACATATAAACCCATATCTTTTTGCACTGTATTAGTAGAAATCCAAATGCAACATTCTCATTTTGTGCTGAAATCTTTGCTTAATAGGTACAACATAGTAATTTTTGGAGCAGTGGATGGATACTCTAGGAAGGTAAGAGAAGTATGGTGTTTTCTTCCATCACTGAAGTTACCCTAATTTTTATATGATGGGTCGTTGTATCACTAAATTTATATGTTGCAGATAATGTGCTTGAATGCTGCAACGAATAACCGAGGATCAACAGCCCTTAGTGTCATGAAACAGAAACACAAGATCCAATTGCGAGGGAAAAGGAAGTCTTTATTAGACAACTCCAACTACATCAAGTAGAA